GTACTAAAATACCTAGTCCATCAATTGGTGTTGGCCTAATTTTATTTCTCCCCCACTGTTGATAAGAAATACAAATAAAAAATTGCATTAACAATGTACGAAATTTTATGCATTTAGGTATTTAATTAATCTCATACTTATAATACACATTGGAGTAATATTGCATGCAAATGTGGGTTAAGTCAGTTTACCAACGCATTGTGTCTCTAGACTCTCTACCCCTTCCTCTCCTACACAAAAATTCAACTACAACTCGTACGTTATGATAGTTTAGAATTGTCTTGTCAAAAAATAAAAAATAAGAAAACCAATTGCATTGCTCAGTATGAATCCACATTTACTAACATCCCCTTCTAACAATGTCCAAAAACAGTCTGCACCAATCTACCTCTCAGAGATCGCACCACCCAAGTGGCGCGGCGCATTCAGCACAGGCTTCAGTTCTGCATCGGAATCAGGGTGGTGGCCTCCAACTGCATAAACTACGCCACCTCGAAGCACAGCTGGGGTTGGCGCCTCTCCCTCGGCCTAGCCATAGTCCCAGCCACCATCATGACCACCGGCGCCCTCTTCATCTCAGACTCACGCACAAGCTTAGTGCAACGCAACAGACTAGACCAAGCCAGAAAGTCTCTCATCAAAATCCGAGGCAAGGAGGATATCGAAGCAGAACTTGCCCAGCTCGTTAAGGCCAGCGAGATCGCCAAAGCTCTCAACGAGGAGCCATTTGTGACCATATTTCAGAGGCAGTACAGGCCTCAGCTTGTGATCGGGGCCATTGCCGTGCCGTTTTTTCAGCAGCTCACTGGCATTAATATCATTGCTTTCTATGCGCCTGTGTTGTTTCAGTCTGTAGGGTTTGGCAACGACTCTGCTCTCATTGCGTCTATTATTCTTGGGTTGGTTAATCTTGGCTCGATCCTTGTGTCGACGTACATGGTTGATCGTCATGGCCGGAGGTTTTTGTTCATGGGGGGTCGCATCCAAATGGTCATCTGTCAGGTACGTATAATTTTACGTTGAAAAAGATAATACATTTGATTTGAGTATGAAACCCTCACAATTAAACTGATTGGGTTTATGGTCAAAGGACCTAGAATGAAAGCCACTATGTGCAGGTGAAATACAATCATGAAGCGAGCTGCATAACATATAAATTGGCATACGTTTTTGTGCAGGTTGCGGTGGCTATTGTTCTAGCAGCTACAACAGGTACCGATGGCAACGGGCACATCTCAAAGGGCTATGCCATACTAGTTCGGGTCTTGATGTGTTTATATGCTGCTGGTTTTGGTTGGTCATGGGGTCCTTTGAGTTGGCTTATACCAAGTGAGATTTTCCCCATGAAAATTCGACCCACAGGCCAAAGCATGGGGCTTGCTGTCAACTTTGGTGTTACATTTGTGCTATCCCAAACCTTTTTGTCCATGCTATGCCATTTAAAATATGCCACATTCTTGTTCTACGGCGGTTGGATTCTGGCAATGACCGTCTTCGTCGTGCTTTTCTTGCCAGAGACGAAAGGAATCCCATTGGATCAAGTGCATACGGTGTGGGTGAAGCATTGGTACTGGCGTCGATTTGTTCAAGGTGACCTTAAGGATACCATTGATGAAAAAGAGTAATGATAGGGATGTCAAAACAAATCCCAAAATTCCATATCCGAAATGATGCATAGTGTTTCATTACGGTGCCACTTTAAAGTTTATTGTTTCTAGTAGGTAAGATATCGGCATGCCATATATCTATTTGGCGACTTAAATTTGGGACAGTTTTTGATGACTCTAGTATTATTATAATGCATGAGATTGTACATGAATTCCTAGCTAGGTGCAATTAAGTTACATTTTTGCGTTACATTGTTGCTTACAATTCATATTGAGAGAAGGGGAAACAAACCTAGAATCTCGGTTACAAAGATAAATACTCCTAAATCACTTGAGCTACAAGCCCCTTACGTGTTACATTGTTGTTTTTATACACAAATGAAGCAAATCTTATTGGATCATAAACTACTATGATAAATTGATAAACAGTAGTGTGAGTGCTCTCGCCGATAAGTTAACAGCTTAACCAGGGTGGGCTATAGGAGCATTAACTTGAAAATACTGGGGGTATTTTCGGCCCAAATTTATCCAATAACGACATGGATGTGCCCAATCAGGATTTGGGTGGGTACAGTACAGGGCCAATATATCCTGCAAAGTGGTTGACATATTAGATGGACCGATTACTTCGGTGATTTATTAGGCCCTCATAAATGTATAAAGGTTTTCTTTTCGTTGCGTAACCTTATGTTTTGCACTAAGCATATCAAAGTATATGACTGAAGTTTACTGATTTATTATTGAGCAATGATATTATCTACCCATCTTATAATATGTATATTGGTTATGCCACGTGATCATATTTTTGTATCACACAATAATTTTTCCTCTTTTTTTTGTCGAAGTCACAATAATTTTTCTTAGTTATTGCAAACTTGATATAAGTTTTCCTTAGCAAAATTTTTATTGATTTTAATGGAATACTTAATAAAGTTTTGGTTTATAGTTTGATATAATCTTTTTTAGTTTGGAATAAGATATTTTAAAGTATATATAAAATTTTAGAGTTTTTATTCCTACATTGAAGTTGGGATGGCCGGTGAAGTCATACCGTAGTAGTTAAGAGTGTTTAACCTCATAGTGAGTTGGAGTTTCGAAACCTGCCCCTGGCATTAGATTTTGTAATAATAAAAGGCTTCAACTTGAAGTTGTGTGTCAAAAATCAGTGGGTCTACATGGGATTGGGGTGTCTCCATCAAGACCTTACTCTAAAATTATAAATTAAACGACGGAGCTTTTTAGAGATGAAGCATATAGTAAGAGTTTGATTGTTGCCCTCTCCTTTCTATAAACAAATAAATAAACAATTATATAAGTCCATGAACTCCAAACAAATCTAGTGGCTCTTCATAAAATATATATAATTAATAAATTAATAAATAAAAACAGAAGTTTCCCTTAAAATAGTAAAACGCAATTGAAGGTGCCTCACTCAATCAGGAAAGAAGGATAAGAACTTACCAGAAAAGAAAAGAAAAGAAGGATAAGAAATTAAGCAGAGAAAGAAATATATAGCTTGTAAGGTATGAATGCGACTATGCGAGTGAATGGCCTCTCTGCTCTGCTCTGTATATATCACCTTTGCCTAAGAGTCAATGACACAAGCAACCACCCAGGCAATGACCATCCACTGAACTTCTCAGGTTACTAAAAATCTGGTCAGGACGATGGGGCCCCTAATTTATAAAATGATATCGCTTGCGTGATTTTCGGGAAGAAAATACCCTTCATTTCCGTAAATTACGATTTAATATATATATATATATGTAAACATAATTTATCAAAAATACATAATAAAAAATCAATAACTTCTACACACATGTTAAATTGATATTGGTAGGAAACGGAATATCACAATTTGGTCCTGTCAGGTAAATGCATGACAACTGTACTTTGCTTATGGTGAAAGAAAAACTTCAATTGAGCCGTGGGAGGTACAGCCGTTCGGCTATTTCCTCAAATAAAAAACTGTAGTATAGCCCTTTCGGCTATACATTTTTTATAATAAAAAATGCGAGTATAGGCTATACTATTTATAATTAAAAAAAGACCACTGCTGGCTTCTAGCGCTGCTTCGCCACGTGTCAAAAAATCCAAGTATAGCCGTACGGCTATACAATTTTTATTTTAAAACAACACCGAGTATAGCCCGGCTATACTTTTTTTTTTAAAAAAAAAAAAATTTTAAAAAGGGACCCGCCTAGCCCGCCTAGGCGGCCGATTTTTGGAAAACTTGAATGGCGGCTTTTTTATTTAGATTTCTTGTTTCCAGGCGGGTCTGGCGTGTCTGCAGATACATCAAGCTGGGGTTTCAGCCACTCACGTTTATCAACAACGTAAAGGTTAGCTCTTCCTAACAATTCACTCTCTCTTTTCTGTACACAAATCTGTTGAGACACAAATCTATTGAGGCTTTGGACAGGATGGGAATGGATTTAATAGAAACTGGAAATCCAGATGCATTCAAACAGTATCTGTCGGAGTTTGATAACACCATTCATTTGTAGAGGATCAGTAACTTGGGGATTATTTTCTGTCTTGTGAGTTTTGCTACCATAATTGGAATGATTTTCTTTTTAGTTTCTCTTCCTGTTGGTTTGAATGGTCTGATTGTGAATTTGCTACAATGTTATGAATGCGGGGTCGAAAGTTGGCTGGGTGAAGGAGCTTTTGAGGAATTATTGTAACAAGAATTTCAGAAATTGAGGTCTCTTGTGGCTTTTGGAAGATTATTATCTCTGCATATTATGAGATTCGATAGATTGTTCTTTAAAGAAATATCCATTATTGAGTAAATTCTCTGTAGATATGCCATCATTATGCAAAATCTGACTGAGAGGCTTAGGCTGGGATTATTGTGTTATTTGGAAATTGAGTGAAGACCGAAGGTTAAGAGAAACTTTTTAATTAACAGTTACTAATTCATGTTTCTTTTTGTGACTAATTTTTAGATTGTTTAATTTTATTTTTTATTTTTTTAAGGTTTATTGAGTTGATGGATTGTTGTTTTTCTGGGTCTGAGGAGAACACTCAGACTAATGAAGGAAATGAACTTCTTTTTCCAGTTTATCCAGTCCTTTCATGGAGAGATACAATGCAGCACTCGAGACCAGCTTCCTTCTTCTCTGTCCTTAGACTCTGGGTACCTATATATCCTTTTCATTTTAGCATTTTTGTTTACTCATTCAATCATAATTACCAATTACCGTATATATCTTGACAAAAGAAATTAATTAGTTTTATTATATCATTAACCAGCCCATTTGGTTGAAGTCATCTTCCAACAGAGATTCGAGTGCCATGGCAGTGAGCTCACAAGTTCCCATTTTCCCTAACTAATTCCAAAAGAAAGTCCTTTTCTGAACATATAATTAAATGTAACTGTATATTTCTACTTACATTTTGCAGGAAAGATGGGACCAGAGTTTTGGTTCCAAGTGCAGAGGGTTGATTGAGCCGTTTGTCTCCAAAGATGTATGATATTTTATGATGCTTCACTCAAACCTTGCTTTAATTTCTTATGTTAGATTTGAAATTTTATTTTGGTCACATCTCTCACAAATAGTTTTTTGTTTTTGGTAACTGTCAAATTCACAGGCCCCTGAAGACCAACAATTGATTGATTATATCACAGCACAATGCAACATTTCACTGGAGCAAGACACCCTGCTTGGTGCTGGCTGCAACACAAGCTTCCCTGTTAATATAAATGACATGAGCACTGAAATACAACCACAGCCCTTTCCAGGCAATGAGAATGAAGGAAATGATCATCTAAACAGTAATCATTTCCAGCAGTCGCCTGTTGTTTCCCCAGTGGATCATGATTCGAACCTGCCATACGACATATCAGTTGATCGAATCCTTCTCTGCAGCACTTCTCCAATGAATGTCCTGCAACATGTCACTTACAACTCAGAGAACAGCATGAGAAGCTTCAAAAAGCTTCAAAAAAATGTTTATGTATAGAGTATGAGAAGCTTCAAAAAAATGTTCTCACTTGTTAATGGCCTCAAGGAAATTTTGCTTTCTGATCTGGAAATAGATCTTCGTCGCATAGTGATTGTTATTTCTATTTCATATTGACATATTGGAGACATCAAATCAGGTTGAGAGGGAAAATGTGAGGGTCTTTTTTTGAAGAATTAAACTTAGTTTACCTAGACTGCAAAATGGTTCTTTTTCATTGCTCATAAGTTTGACTCCAGCTCTTCAGTTAAATGCATCTAGAATATTGGTTTTGATCATTATTTCATCCCTTT